GAAGTGACGTGAGTTGAGTAATAAATATCATACTAGTTATTTATCTGCCATATTCATTTTGGGTGAAAACTGAGCTTCTGCTCAGGTGTACTCTTGGTTTTACTGAGACTACTTGCCTAAATAAGGTGGGCTGCAGGATTATGTGGCTGGTGAATCATACTGGTTTCTGAATCACTCTTACAAAATATCAGCCTGAAATACTAACAAATAATGAGCACATTGTGGTTGGACTTGTACGTTATTTAAAGAATAGCATTTTAAAGCAGAATATTTTGTAAAATGTTCGTTTAAAAACCACTTTGCAATTTACTTCCATCAAACCCGTTGTACCAGGAAAAATACCTCCTTCAGAAGGGAAAAGGTGTCAGTATCCTGTAAGAGTATCTGATTTTTATCCAGCTATTTGCTACTTAAGCTCCCTTCTTTTCAGTGCAAGGAGATCAGCTGACAACAGCAGCAACCAAATCATGTTTGCAGCTGGGCAATTACAGTAGACCCTAAGATCTGCGACTGTCAACCATGAACGCAGATGCCTTCAAAGTTCTGTTTTTCTTCCATGTGGAAGTCATTGGCATGGAACAGATGCCTTCATTTTGGAGAAACCAACCTCTGGATATAATTGGTTCTCTCTTGTCCTCTAGGGACAGTCTTTCGCAGATGAAATTAGATGAGAGGAAAAAAAAGACAGAGGCACACACGCTCATACATGACACGAAGCAGGAGTTTTCAGGATCTCTCTCTGTTTTGTCACGTGGAACTGTTTTACAGCTGGAAGATTTCACTCCATTTTTAGCACTCTACACACATGATGACGATGCTATATGAAAAACATGCAAATTAAAATATATATCTGGCCAAAGTTTATTATTAATCTAGGCATGCTTGTTTAGAAATAAGACAAGCATATCCAGCCCGTATTACTTTAGTGTAAAATGTTGACTTCTGCATTATCTATCGATGCCACAGTCTCAGAAATTTAAAGTTAAATGGCAGAAGAGACAAGATGGTTTAAAAAACTTCTGTTGCAGTGGTGGAATCAAAGTATTTTCGTCAGATGGTTTGCTAGTTGTTAACACGGGAGGGAAAAAGCAAGTAGTTGACTTCAAATTTCACGTAGCATACAGGCATTCAATTAAGGAAGCACATTTACAGGACCTTTAGCAGAATTAGTCCAATGAACACCTGTGGTGAGCCATTGCTGGGAGTCCTGTGGTAGGGTACTGAAGAGGCTGTGTCCTCTTACTGCAGATACCTAAAATGGGATGATGGTAATGGAACTTAAACACTCTAAGAGAGAGGGAGAATCTGCCTACCCTGTGCCCATCAAAGGCTTTTGTCACTCCTTCTCCGGTGTAACAGCCGCCAAATCATTGCGGTTTATGTTATTTAGTACTATTAAAATAAATGAATACCAACTTTGGGTTACCTTAGAAAGCTCAGTTGTGAACTGTGACAGTCAGCCAGTGCTGTGTAAAGAGCTGCGATATCCTTCGGTAGAGTGGGTACCTCCAGGAGGAGGGTGCAGCAGGGATCAGGGACTGCCAGGAGGTAAGCTATCACTGCTGGTGCCCAAGAGCCTGGAGATCTGTCATCTCGGAATGCTTTTTCTTTCTTAAGGTTTATTTCCTAGCATAAGCTTTTTCATATTGCAGTTTAACGTAACAGTCCAGTTCAATCACCAGGTGTAAAATTTATCTAGGCAAATGTAACTTACATGAATTGGCTGATGAATTGTAGGAGAGTGGTTGCTTGAAGATGCTGAGCCTTTGTAACAGCGTAGGTAGGTCCTGCTGGTAGCATATAGATGACCTGAATTCTGAACCTGATTTTCAGATTTTAATGGCAATTTCCATATTTTACGTGAGGAGTTTACTACTACTGTAGTATTTCCCTCTCTTAAAAGTTGAGCAGAAATGTCACCAGCAATGAAAACTGGCAGGAGTTATCTGGGTCCTACCTTGGTCTGGGTAGTTGGTAGAAGGCAATCCGCTTTTTAGACCCTTGATGTAACTGGATAGCTGCAGTGTGCAGCAGTCCTTTTG